CTCCCAGAATTCCCCAGCCAGCCATGCTGGCTGGAGAATTCTGGGAGTTGAAGTCCACACAACTTAAAGTCACCAAGGTTGAGAAACACGTGTCTAGATTGATCCTTGCTGATTAAAGACACATATTCTGCTTGACTATATACCCAGCATTTGGAATCAATCCAACATCAAGAACCATAGACTCTTTAGGTATGGAAAGCACTAAAAACACTCAATGCTGGAAGGACAATTCTATACTTCAGTTGCAAGAATGGATTTCTGACACGTGTGTTTTTTTTTTATAATTTGAACTACTGTTTTCTGATAGAGGCCAGGAGAGCCTTTTCAAGTAATATAGTCAAATTGCCGGGCCTTCCCTACCCTCCAGCTATGTGGGTGGCAGGGTGAATTTCAATATTTTATTATTATGTTAACTGTTTCAGCATATAGTTTTTCTTCTTTTACTAATTAATTTGATGCAATAAAATACTGCAGTAGAAAATAATACATTTTAGCTATTTTTCTATGAGCACATTGAATTGATACTAAAGAAACATAACTTTTAATGCCTACCATAAGAATGACATAATGGTAATAAAAGAACTGCAGGGAAAAAAGATAAACAGCACAATTTCTAGTATGGATCTTAAAAAGCATATTTTTTAATGTATAATCCTGAAGATTATTTTAGCATGCTATTATCAATATAGCTAACATTTAAGTCTCCATGCAGAGTAAAAACATGGGGTTATGTGTTTTCTTGACTTAACATTATTCTGTTCTTCAGTTATCATTTTGTTTCTTGTTTTCAGTGCCCTGATGTGTCTTTAAAATCCCCACACAGGTGCTAGACTTTTGATTTCCACAATAGTTTCAAAAGAATCACCTCTACAGTTTGGTTACTCTGGCTTGAATAAAGTTGCTTTGTCCCTAACTGTGACTGGGATATAGTAGCATCCTTGAAATGAAAAATGGCTATCACTTGATTTTTGTTAGCACATTCTTAAACTGAAAAAAACACAAAAATAAGCAGGCGATGTGTTACATGAAAACTTGGACCACAAATCAATTAGCTACTTTTAAAGTACTACAACTTTGTGGCAAAAGCAATTACGTAGATAATAAAATGCTCAATTGTGGTGTCCCCACCCCAGCTCCCAACATCACTACTATCATGGGAATCTTCCATAATCCTGGATGTACAGTCATTATACACGGTGTACACATTCTACCTCAATGTTCTGGTTCTACTGCAGGGACATATGTCAAAGCACTCCTGGTGAGATACTAAGTATTTTCAAGTTATAGAAATCATGATTCCTTTTATGAACATTTATGACGGAGTGCCAATTCCTACCTGCCATGTTCACTCCAAGGAATTTAGCACGTTTGAGACTACGTAGCTCTGCCTCATACTGGTCCACTGTTGGTCATTTACTAAATGATGGAGATCAGCAAGACACCCTTTCAACAATCATTTTTAATGTGAAATTGTTTGCATGCTGAGTATTTCTGTACTGCACTGAAGAAAACATCTGGTAATAAAGATCCAATATATAACCTAAAAAGGGGGGCAAGCAACAAGCAAACACAACTGCATAATTCTTATGTGCAAGTATAAGATTATACCAGAAGCATCGGGGCAGGGGGACTACCCAAAAAAGTCAGGATGGCACCCCACTCCTCACATAAGAAGGAGCAGGACTTTGTGAGATTGCCACCACCATCTTGACTGTTTTGACTCTCACCCCTGTAGATGCCCCTGGTTCAATGTTACGAAAAGGCATGAGGCTCCATGGGGCCACACATTACTAGTAATGTGCTGGGGCCCCAACTCTTCCCATTGCAGCATCTCTTGTTGCCTGAAAAACCTTTCAGAATTGGACTCCATGAAGCCACAGAGAAGGAATGAGAGCCAAAAACTGCTGCACATCCCTGAACCCCTTTCTCTTTGTGCAAGGCATTTCTGTGTGGATACTTACAAAAGGCAAAAGGCAGCTGCTGAATTTGTGCTGAACTTGTTGGAATTCTGCAGCAGCCATTCATATAGCTCACACCTGCACAAGAAATATTCCACATGATGGGGAACACTGATTGTAGAGAGTGAAGAGAAATGAATTTATAAGTACATGCAACAAAGTAAGGACTTCATTTATAGAATTGCATGTATTTTATACTGTAACCTATGTTAATGAAGATAGCAGAGCAATTATCATCAGTGGATGCCTAGTTTATAGAATTTTCTCCCGCAAGGGGCTTTCTCAACACCTACCTTTTGCTATCTTTCCAATGCCAAAGCTGCTTTTATTTCTTCCAATTGAAATTATTATGTTATATTGCTGCCAAGTTTTAACTGGCTGTTCTATGCTACTTATTTGTTGTTGTATTTGTTTTATTTATTCTTGGGTATGCCTTCCTGTGTATATACTGAAGAAAAGCATAAAGAATATTAACAAAACAAGATATATGTATTTTAGTTAAGTAAAGATTCAAACAAAATTTTTGCAGTTTGCATCCTACCCAAGGCCAAAATCTAGATGGATACATTTTTTCCCCGCTTGTGCTCTTATCTAAAATACACTCTATTTGTAAGTTCAAATTCAGAGAGTCACAAATAAGGAAGGATACTAAGATTTTTTTTTTTTAATAAGAGCAACCCAAAAAAAGTAATTTTCACCAGCATTGATTCACATTACAGTACATCAATATTGACAGCATTCTCTTTTTTTCTATTTTTGGTACATAAGATGGAACCTCTCTACATCACCTCATAAGGCATCAGTAACTAAGAGTAAAAAACCTATTAGTTTACAATTTATTTAAAAAATTCGGAAATACACAGCAAGTCCTAAACTTTAGTAGTGCTATGCATACACAACTACCTGGTTTCAGAACCCAGTAAAAGCCCCAACTCTCTCAAGGAAGCTCTGCAACAGTGATGTTGTGCAATATGGATGTTGCTTACTATGATACCCTCCCCCCCGAATATTACACATGGCACATTCTCATTCAAATTTTGAAATGTAAAAAGTTACAAACATATCTAACCAAATAAATAATAATTAAAAATGAATGTGTTTGTTAAGTATCCTAAAACCACTATGCAGAATAATGGCCATTTTCTCTCACAGATTATATACATGGTAATACCCAGCAGAGGGTACACTGCTACAAAACATATTAAACAAAGAGTAAACTTGAAATGTTTTATTTTTTTCCATAATAAAAATCTAGCAGCTTGACTAGCTAATGCTGTTGTGTTTTCTTGAATTTGGGAAGTGTTTAATCTATGTCTTCATCCAGTTCGTAATTGTCTTTATCATAAATATCTTTTACTAAAAGAACCCGTACAAGCATATTTTCCAAAGTATTGCGGTCCACTGAAGTGGAGGTGTACCAAATGGGACTCTCGGAAGATACTGGGCAATCTGGCTGCAAATAGAACACATCCGTTCTCTGAGTGAGATTTGATGGGCTGAAAGGGAAAACAAGGGCAAAATTAACAAGGTGCACATATTAGTTTAGATTTGTGGTCAGTGAACAACCTCAGTTTAAAGCATAATATAGAGATAGGTCAGAACAGAAGGAACATTTATTTACCAGACAGCAGCTATTGGCTTTTGAGTATCAGTGAAACATTCACTTCATACAATCTGGATTTCTAAAATAGTGACGTTATACAGGTAGCTGTCGCTTAACGCCCCTAATTGGGACTGGAATTTCCATCGCTAAATGATGCAGTTGTTAGGTGAAATCATCACGTGACCGCACTGCTTAGCAATGGCAGTTTTGGTGGTCCCGGTTGTGGTCATTAGGCCAGGATTGTGCCATCGTTAGGTGAGGACTTCATCCTTCTCCTGTTCTGCTGCACTTGCCTCTGCTTCAACTCCCCCCACCCGCTTATCTCTCCCCATCTCTGCCCTTTTGGCCACCCTGTATTCTGTTACCCTGCACTCTGCCCTGAACCCCCACTGCCCTCCACCACCCTGAGCTGACATTCATCATCTTCTTCCTCCTGCTGCTGACGAGGTGTGCTCAGCCTGGCCTTTTGTGAGGCAGCTGCTAGGCCATGCGAAGCTTTGGGAAGGCCATGTGTGGCCAGCAGCTGCCTCACGAAGACCCAGGCCAGGCGCACCTTGTCAGCAGCGGGAGGAAGATGATGATGAAGGTCAGCTGGGGTGGCATGGGGCAGTGGGGTGCAGGGTGGCAGGGGTTCAGGGTGGAATGCAGGGCGGCGGAGGCAGCAGGGGTGGTGAAGGGCAACTGGCGAGGCAGTGGAGTGCAAGGCAGCCAAAAGTGTAGAGATGGGGGGGAAGATATGTGGGTGGGGGGAGCTGAAGTGCACCCTGTGGTTGTAAATGTGAGCAGACTGCCAAGTGCCCGAATTTTGATCACATGACTGTGGGGGCACTGCAACGAATGTAACTTCAAGGACCAATCATAAATACCGTTCATTTTGCACCATCATAACTTCAAACAGTCGCTGAACAAATGGCTGTTAAGCGAGGATTACCTGTACATATTTTGTTTTCCTGCCATGAAGTGATTAATTACTGACATCATAACCCTCTTTAGAAAAACAAGGAATTCTAATTTGCAAACACAATTTACATTTCACTTACAATGTTCCACTTATTACAAACTTCCTAACGTGTATCCAGTGCTCCCTGTTTGGCTTTTTAGAAGTAACACAGTATAGATGTGGGATGTACAAAAATTTCTGTCCTTGTAATAGCAGGTTTTGGGTGATCCATGCCTGAACTGAAATATGCTTGTTGTAGGTATTTTGGACTGTGCTATGGGGACTGATGTGTGTATAAAACAAAACAGGTATGTTTGGTCTGGCAAAAATGGTTCAGTTAGGAGCAGAAGAAAACCAAGGACCTCAGTGGCTGAAGAGGAGGTTGGAGAGATGGTGGGACATCAGTAACAGTGGCTCTTGGGATGGTCACACCAGTGGGATATGCTATGTTGGAACACTGATGGCAGTGGCTGTGGGGAGGGAGGACAAGTGGACCAAGGGGATATGCCACACTGGGACCCTGGAAGGAGGAGGTGCTGGGACTATCAGGGCAGAGTGAAAAGGGAAGAGGCTGGGAAGATAGGGAGAACAGTAGGCTGGGACGATAGGAAGAACTGCACTGACAGCTGCTATAGGGAGAAGAGGTGAAGTACTCCAGCCTTCTTACTTATTCTGGATTTTGTTTCCTCCAAAACCTGGAAGAACAGCAAAGTATTCTGGGTTTTGGCCCTGCTAAGCATGAAACAGCTGCTGAGCATGGAACAGATGACTGGGTGAACATCTAGGACACTGCAAAGTATGTTTGCAAACAGGATTGTTTAATATAGAAGAGCGTTGGGAGAAAAGTCAGTTTAGCAGAGGCCATCACTGAATATGAGTGATGTTAGAATTCGTAAGTAGTTCTCTGGTTTCCTTGTTTTGGAATGTTTTTGAGTGCCCACTGCTGGAAATTCTAAAACCCAATGAAAAAATGTCCATATACAGACTCAGACACAATTATAATCTTTTTAAAAAATACCTCCTAGATAAATAGCATTCAAACATTTTCACAGGACATCTAGAAGGATCGGCGGTGTTTTCCATTTGTTCAAATACTGGCTCATCGTCTTCATGCTTCCTTTTTCCAGTAGTAATTTTATCTTCTTTTAAAACAGGGAAATAATACAATAAATTGATTTTTGTTATTAATTTTTTTAAAAATAGACACATCATATCACAAAATGGACTGAATTACATACATACAAGACCAATGGCTATAATGCTGTGATGCTGTAATCACTGTCTTCAGTGAAAGGGAGATTCAGGAATATTTTTTCACTAAAAGCCTTTTTTCAGCAACTTCACAAAGTCATTTTTTTAACAGTGTGGTGTTATCAAGGAAAAAATGAAGAAGCTAAATCCCAGTTACAGTTGTTTTCCTTTCCCGTCCTCAGCGAAGACTCTATCCCCACAAGCATTTTATCTGACAGAATAAACTGAAAATCTGCTTTTCTATGCTTCATTTAAATTTGGTATTTAAACCAAAGATACTATTCTAAGTCATCGGTCTCAGTCCCTAGCTGGCAGCATGCAGTAACACAGTTCTGTCACCTCAGCCCCACAAAAGTAATTAGTTATTTAGTTTACTTGTTTTTAATTCCACCAATAGATTGAGTTAAACATGGCTTGTTGAACTAATCATAGTCTATAACACTGAGCCATAACCACACAATATACTACACCAAAACCAAGGAAATCCTATGATTTTCTATAATGTGTGAGCCTAGTTAATATGAGGACAATTAGTGGTAAGGTAAGTGACATTTAAAGGGTAAACAATAAAAGAAAAATAAAGTTATCTAATGAGATCAATAACTTGAAATTGCCATGACCACTGGTACAGCTACAGGAAAGGACAGAAGCTCAGAATTAAATCTTACATTCTGCATATAGTAGGCCCTGAATTTAATCTCTGGGTAGGTCTGAAAACTGTGGAGAAGTGCCCCCAACAATTGTGTGTGTGTGAACAATACTGAATCACTATCTTGTATTATTTTGCTCTCTTTCCCGAAGCTACACATTATATACCCCTCTGCTTAAGCTAGAGACCAATGTATAATAGGAAAGATCACATCCAAGTATAACAGGGGCACCAGCATCTTTCTACAGTGTCTACTGGCTTTGCAAGCGGTGTAGCCCAGTAACTTTCCCACTGGGACGAAGCACTCATTTTGGAACGTTGCGATACCTTCATTATCTGTTCCACACAGGGAGGAAACCTGATATCTGAGACAAGCTTTGCTTTCCATCGTTAGAGGATTCTTCTTCCAATGTCTATAAACAGTGCCAAAGGAAAGTCTTAAGTGCTGCTCCACTGTTTTCAGACCAAAATACTTGGTGTTGAAGTAAAATAGTGTATTTAAAAGAGCAGTTGGAGAATGGGATCCCAGCTGTTTAATCTTCCAGAGATAGTCCTCCTCAACTCGAGAAAATATTGAACCTGACAGGTGAAAAAAAAAAAGGGATATAAAGAATCAGGCTGTAAACAAACCCAAGCAGAGCAGGTTGACTGCAATTATCAACATAAAAAAATAAAACTAAGAAAATAAAAAAGAGGCTACATTAAACTGAAAAACATGTGATACATTTAAGACCAAGTTTCTTAGCTCACCAAATTAACTAAAGATTAAACTGTGACTATAATCCCAATATTCTTTACAGAGCTTGTAACAATTAGTCATGAATTATTCTGGTCTGAATTGCTTAAGGAACATAAAGCCACAAAGGCAGAAATTATCAAAACAAGATAAATTACCATCTGGAAGTATGCTGGGCTGCCAGCTTCTGAGTATTTTATTTATTTCCTGCACAAATGTATGATAATTAGTATCCAAAAAGATATTATCTTCTCGATTGCTTCCATTCAGGTACTATAGAAAAGGAGGAACATAAAAGTTAGTATACTCAATCAAAAGAAGATTGTCAAACTGTTCTTGATATAGCCTATTCTTTTGCATGCATATAGAAAAAAGTAATTTGATAAGAAATCAATCTCAGTTTAACTATTAATTGGCTTGATCCATGTAAGAAAATTGGGATTCATTCAAGGAAGTAGAGATTGATTTTTACACAACTTCTCATTCTATTCTAAGGATCCTGCAACAAGTCAGCCCCAAAACACATGACTGAAGGAGCCTTGTTCTGAAACTGGCCAGAGCTTGTTATAAACCATGATCCCTAGATGGCATGCAACAACAAGCTGAAATTCAGGGAGTGTAAGAAAGGCTAAACATAAGTTCTCCAGCCCGCGGAAGAATGGGAGGAGAGAAAGTATATAAGCCTGGGACCTGCTTCTGTTGTTCATTCCAATTGATCTACATGACATTAAACCATGGCTTTGCAGGAAGTGTAAATGCAGCTAATATTTCAACTGATAATTCTGTTCTGTCAATCACATTCATTTGAAAAAATGTAGCAACCACATGCAGATTATCTAATATTTAAATTACTCACTTCCTGAATCCCAAGACACAAATAATAGATACTGTCAGGTGCATAGTTTTCTCCGTTTGGTCTTCGGACTTCATTTACAAAGTGTGCCAGCCCAAAATTTAGCTCAGTAGAAGTATGAGATATTATATCTTCTTTCAATTTTACTGACTTTGCTGTAGTGGGAAATGTAGGGTATCATGTAATGCTGTCTCTTATTGATAAAATAAAGCACCCAGCAGATGAGTACAAAATAAAGGAAACATATTCAAATACTGCAAATATCACCACAAAAACCTCTCTCAATCCTAAGATATATAGCAAGGGCTTTTCACTTAAAATATTAATTTCTATGGTACACATAATGCTTAGTGGCTTTGTACTAAAAATATTTCTCTGAGATAACATACTATGACCTCCTTTGACTGATCTGAAGATGAAGACATAACTTGCCCATCACAATCCTAGTAAGCCCATTACAAAAACAAAATCTGAATCCAGGTTTAAGCTCCACAGACTTATCTGCTAGAGCATACTGTCTGTATGTCTTAAACTGAAGATTTAAAGCTAAGTGAGATACTTACTTGATTTCAGCTCATCTAATACTGGCAGATCTTCCTCTAGGTTCCTAGTTTTTACCCAGTGTTTCCATGCATTTACACCATATGCATACTTGAAAGGAAAACTGCACTCTGAGTTCTCAGAGCCATCATCTTGAGAATGGTCTTCTGACACTGCTTTTCTCTTTGCTCCCTGCCATCAAAATAGACTTTGCTTATTAACAGTGCTTATGATCAACCAATAATTCTATTCTTTATTATAGAGAGGGGATATCCAAGTACGCTGTGGCACCAGCTATGAAGCAGATATGGTGAGTGAAACTTGAGACAAACTAGTTGTGTTCATGAATATATACAAAATGCAATGTCTATTTCACACCATAAATTATGAAATGGATATCCAAAGTCCTTGGTAAGAGACATAGCATGAAACACAAATCAGCTGCCTCATTGCCCCTCAAGGTATAGTCATCAGACTCCCATCACAAGTAGACACAACCAAAGAAGAAACTATTTGTCTCTATAACATTATTAACAATATAGGTTATACCTTCTTTTTACTTCGAGGTCTTGGCTGTTCCTCGTATTCTTCTCCAAAGACAGGTGGCAGCAAAAATTCATTCTCTGTGTCAAGTTCTTCCGTTGCTGCACATACATAGAAGTGTATCCACCAAAGAAATAATCAACATGTAGTCCAACATTTTGTACATATGTTTATAAGTGATGAAAGATTTATTTTACAATATATGTTACTCAGTATTCAAAGGTACTGTCAGCAATTTTAGAAAATAGAGCAAGTGAATATTCTAGTTATTTTAATTAACTTCTTCTATATAAATCATATCATACATACACGAATTACTTAAATTATTGGGTCTTTCCATATATATATTTATTTGAGTTATAACTGGAATTAGAAAAATACTTTAATAAACTGTAATTCTACTCTATAGCCTACATCAGGGTTCCTCAACCTCAGCAACTTTAAGATGGGTGGACTTCAACTCCCAGAATTCCCCAGCCAGCATTGCCTTCAATTTTTTCAAGTAGGGTCTTCTCCATTGACTTGTCTTTGTATTATGTGCTCAAATATTAAAATGTTAGCTTCATTACTAGTTCTTCCATGGGCAGTCTAGCTTAACTTCATGTAAGTATTGATTGATTTGTTTTTCTTGTGACTCAAGGCATTTTCCTGGTGGGGATGGTGTGCTCTGGGTTCCTTCAATTAAACAGTGTCATCTATCAGAACCCTGGAAGTGTGATTTCTCTGCAGCAGCATCTGCCCTCTGGAATGAGGTTCCCTCTGACATTTGTATGGTCCCCTACTACTGTTGTTTTGAAGGGCCTTGAAGACCCAGCTCTTTGCCAGGCCTTTGGTGAAGGTAAGTGAAGTCCCCTTTAGATTGTGTGGGTTTTTCTTTGTTCCCATCCAGGTTTGTCATTTGTGCCATCTTTACTGTCTTTTGTTGTTTCCTTGTTTTTAATGTTTTAAACAATTTGTAAATTGCCCAAAATCACTGGGAGCTGGGTGGCCTATAAAATAAAGGAATGAATGAACGAATGAAAGAAAATAATTTTCAACCATTTCCTGCATCATTGTAATTGAAAAGCATCCATTTTCCTTCATTTAGGCTTTTGACAATTTAGCTTTCACAGCCTTATGTTACAGCTGGGAACTACAGTGGGGCAAAAAAGTATTTAGTCAGCCACCAATTGTGCAAGTTCTCCCACTTAAAAAGATGAGAGGGGCC